GTCTTGCAGGACTAGGATCTACAATATTTGCATTTGTTTCCATTCCATAAAATTCCTACAGAGGCAGTCTGAGACTACAGCTGAAGGTAACATATCTTCCCAGAATATAGAAGAACAGTCCTCTACTCCTAGTTTAAACTTGACGCTACAGGTTGAAGTAATTTGCCCTTAAACAATTCAATGCCATTTCATTACTGTAATTGAGAATATTCATTTTCATTTTTAAAACAATCAAACAGTATATGCTGTATTAGCCAATATAACACACATACTAGGAATCTCAGGATGATGTATGACACAGTAGTCCACCTGCCTGTACAGTAGAGACCGTAAAGGCAATGTCAGCCTGTCTCCACTGATCTCCCTTGAGCAGTCCCATGTTGATATTCTGAAAGTTATTACATGTACAAGCCATGTAAATAAACTTCAAAGGCCAAAAAATAAATCAGAAGAATAATTCTGACTAGTAAGATTGAAACTCTTCTTTTTGAAATAATTTTCAGTTTTTAGTGCTTCATTCATGATTTTAGAGCTCTCGGTTAAAAACAGCACTATTTCCTTGAAGTCTATGCAGCAAGAAGATTGTTACTTGTACAAATAAGCATGAAAAAAAGATGACTGTTCTATGTCACTTTGGAAGACATAGCATGAGGGTCTAGACAAAACTATCCAGAAAAGGCAGTTTGGCATGACAGATGCAGTAAACAAACAGGTAAATGTTAGAGACCAGGAGATGCAGCAAGACAAGAGGTTGGGCAAGCACAGAAGAATCACGTCTGGGAAGGGACATAGGGAAATTTGGCAAGCAAACAGAGAGAATGCAAAAGGAAAGAAAAGGGAAATGAAAGGTGAGACGATGGGATGGGTGAACAAGTTGTAATTGCACATTCATTTAACCAAACACTTCTTTCTCCTCACTATTCGAAATTTATTCCATGTTGTGACACAATACTGATTCTAGCGAACTGTGTTGCCAAATATTCCTGGTCTTGTCTTTTTCTGCCAGTGTCCTTGTACAGGCATTAGTGGATGTCTGCAAAATATTTCTGTTACCTGAGCTGATTAAGTCTGTGTAATACCTGATAGCAGAAGCGCAACAGAGGCTATGGTTTAAAACATCGAGTGATAGGAACAAAAATGAGAGAGGAAAAACTAAGTCTTCTATTCCAAAGAATGAAAATAAAACATCAAGTCTTTTTCAAGCATCAAATTAAGTTGAATTTTTAATGTATTTGAAATTGAATTTAAAAATTAAATATGTGGTTCTTCTAGAGGAAATCTAACAAAAATAAGATTAAACCCATGACTTTTTTAGCTAATTAATGGTTTTCTGAGTTCTGACTCATGACTTTGGACACCTGGGCTGACCATTATAGAAGTCATATTTCACAGTAGCACATGCAATACTTTCTTCCCTTTTCCCATATGTCCTTTCCACTAAAATTTTGAGGAATTATGTCCTTTATTTATTATAGAAAAATAACTATTTATTTATTTTTTATCTGATTTATTGCACAAATACTGTATAATTTAAGAAAGTGGCCTTGGGATTTCCTACTACTTATCTAAATTCTCTATCATTTAAAGAAACCAACCATACTAGACAATAGGTACAAAACAGGCATAAAAGCATATCCATCCTAAACAAGCAATACAGCTGTTAGTCTGTTGTAGCATCAGTCCCGGAAGCTACAAACTTGCCTTACATGTATGCTAGAAATCTGCAGTTCCGAGAGTCTCTGTTACAGAAAAATGTGACAATAGCAAAGATATCCTATTTATCTCTCTAGGCATTTATGATCGCTTTTATCACCATGGCATCTGATTACTGGATAAAACTTCAACATATTTTTCAGATGCTTATCAGCTATTTCTTGTAATTGATTTTCTTTCTTATCTTTCATAAGTATACCTAGCTAGATGTTTAGATGTCTTCCATCAATGTTTAATCTCCGTATTCTTAGCTTTTTATTAATCTGTTCATAATTAGTAACTATAAAGCTCTCCATCATATATATATATAGGACTTAGAGCATACAGGACATAAAAAAAAGCATGGAAATTAAATTTGAAACCAAATCCAAGTCTCTGAGAGTGGAAATAATCTCAATAACGTTATCTAGCTAAATATCAGTCACCTCTCCTGAAGTAATCATGCAAGCTCCCACTAGAGCCAACAGAAAGAAGTGTACTTTCCAGAGGGCAATTGCAGAAGTACATTTTCCTCTCCGTTAACTGTAAAGGGAGCCAAAAGGTCTGTCTTAGATAAGAGGCCTAAATTGTACATAATCAAATTAACTAATCTAGTCTTAATCTTCCTTTCCTTCTTGCTTTTATTTTCCCATGTTTATACAGTCTCAAAAATAGTCTTCTACAGAAAGCAGAATGTGCCTGAGGATACTTGTGTCAGAGTTTTGCCCTGACAAAAGAAGTGTGTAAAGTCACAGCAGATCTTAATATGCTCAGTACAGCACACTAGTTATGCAGGCATCCCCCTTTTCTAAATATCTATTGAAATTGCAGTGGAGTAAGCAACTCGTTTAATTACTGTATCAGAATGATTCCAGCAACTGCATCACAAAACTTGGAGTACAACTGGGCATTTGTCAAACCAACATCTGTATTCTAATGAAATCACCATTTTGGAAGAATATTTTATGGTCATCCATGAATTGTTGAGTGAGGTGCACCTCCATGAAGTTGGAAATACCGAGAGGCTGTGTCCTAGCTTTAATAGAGTTCATTTTTCTCCAAATCAGTAATTGTGTAGCATCGGATACTTCAAAGTACCTGAATCTCTTTGGTTTTGTTTCTGTTTTTTGTTTTAACTCTCCAGGCCTTGTAATGGGATTAATTATACGATACGCAACAAAAGCATCAGATGTTGAAAGTGGAACTGTTTATGAATGTGAAAAACTGAAATCTGGGCCATCCACTCTACTTATTAATATAACCAATCAGGTCTATGAATATCAATACAAAAGAGAAATCAGCCACCACAATGTCAATGGCCACCAGGGCAATGCAATGCTTCAGAAGGTAAAACCTATATTATTTTTGTTCTAAACCATGTAACATATTTCTTTTATTTACACCCTTAAGAGAGGAAAAGTAGTTTCAAACTAAAATGTGACACAGAAAGAGAGAGAGACTATTCTGAATTGAGGGTTAGAAGGGTAACTGAGGAAGGAGAACAGGAATGGAAATAAGGTGCAGTAAAAACCTGCAGTAAAAATCATTTAGCATACAGCTGGCTGTATTCTTGCAGAATGGCTGCCCAAACTCTTTTAGGTAACAGTCCCACCTCCTGCAGACACTGAGTTCACTTGCAAACACATCTGTTACCTTGGATTCATTGCCACCAGAACTTTGTAAAACCCACTGATGTCTTCATTCATCCTCTGTCTTAAAAGCAGCTTGCTCTGGCAGCATAATGCAAGGGAGGTTTACCTCCTGTGTGCAGCAGAGGTAACTACAAACTCTGACCATTTTACAAAATCCAAACTTGTAAATAGGGGGGGGGGTTATAACACTTAAAATGCATTCCAATGTTCTCGTACGTTCATCCACTACTGCAGTGGTCCTCAGAAGGGATTTCACTGGTTATCCCTGGAGAGACAGCATTGTGGCAATACAGGCTGGATGCAAAAAGGGAAGTGTGGGAGGAAGTTTACAGTGTATTTTTACAATGTCATGGACTTTTCTGTTTTCCAGTATACAAGTATTGAAATATTTTACTTTATTAATACATTCTTTCCCCACCCTTGCAATATTTACTTCTTGTAATGTTCACTTTTTTAAAAAATGACAACAAATTAAAGAACTCATGAGTGCAGAGGGATTTTTTAAAACCTGGATTTTATGTCAAAGACATCACATATTTATATGAAGCTTCTAATCCCTTACCAGTTATTTGTTTTTATAATACTGCAATATATTATTTTGCTTTTTTCCAAGTATCACTGTTTATCTAGCACAGTAATACATTTTCCTGTGTATTATAGTGGTTATCATAACAAAAACTGTTAAGTTATGCTCAGAAAGTACACTGGGGAACTCAGCAGCATTAGGATTTAACCATCTGCTCAAATTCTGTGCTGATGCAGCACCATTGTGTGCCTGTTTGTCATTACTGCCAGACTCCTGCCATTCTCAGACAGAACTAGACTACCAAGGACTATTAGAGCAGTAGTGGGTGGAGACAGGAAAATACTGTGGCAGACTTGTCAGATTTTGCTGAATCTTCATCCTTTTTCCTGCTAGTTGGTTGCAAGAGGTTTGTCTTAGTAAAAGTGTATGTTTAGTTTCCAGGGCATATATACTAATCCATTACATTTTAACATCTACATCAAACTTGGTATGATGAAGCCAACTTGTGCTATGAGGAAGGATAAGCACTAACTCTCAGAGAAGCTTCTGCTGCCCTTACAGGAGATTGCCCAATCTTCTTTCCATAGTCTCATTTTGCTGGAAGATTCTTAAAAGTCTCAAATGCGAGTTGTGGGTTACTGGAGAAACCTCAGCCTGCCTGGATTTTCACTCCTTTTTCCTTTAAAATGATCTGGAAGATGCCCTCTTAAAAGAAAATAAATGAAAAAAGAAAGAGGGAGGAATTCAACAATATTTAGGAGACAGTAACAATGCCTGGCAGCTTTCCTGACTGGCAGAAGCACTAACATAAAGAACAGAAAACATGATCACACCATGCTCTGTTTTTCATACAAGAGTAATTCCCTTTTGACCTCAGTATAAGGGTCTACTAAGTGCATTTATCAGAAAGAATAGTCTGTGCCATGACTTACAAACATGTATTTAGAACACAGTTTTGAATAATAAAACATGCAGTCAGGATTTCTGATGCCTGTGGAAAAAGTATTTTAACACATTTGCAGAATTAATTCCAAAATTAACATCTGAGGCTGTTAGTTCATAAGTGAAGAAAATCCTTTATCATGTTTTCAATGAAAGTACCACCACAGCCAAAGTTGCTGGCACATTATTTGCCAGATAGGGTTTTTTTCAGCTTTATAATTCAAAGTAAGCAGAATGGAAAAAAAGGCTGAGCTCTCACTTCCTGTTTGTCAAATCAAGCTATCTGTTAGAAGACAGAAGTAATTTTGTAGGCAGGTCCTATTCTTTTAAAGCTAAATAATTAATCTAGAATACTGTAGCCTTAAAATATCATCTGAACAAAGAAGCTGCAAGCCTTTGTGTTAATTCCATCCCGTCTCTTTTAAAAGTATTGGTATAAAATAGCCCGCTGACAGAACAGTAAACAGTACACAGACTTATTAAAATATTTTTTTCTCCAGCAATTCTATAGTTCTAAACAGGATTCTATTTCATTGAAAGTTACTGGTAATGAATCGCAGTGGCTGAAGAGTACGCTTGGTCTCTCTCTCTGTGCCTGAAGTTGAAGGCAATTATGAGCAGTGTACTGCCGACAGCTTGTATAAGAACCTTTTGCCTTGCCTAACATTATCCTCATTCTAGCATTACTTCAAAAATTTTAATGGGTATTTTATAAACTCCTACTGGCTGTTGTAGAAACAAAAATGTTATGTTTCACATGGGTGGGGCTGACATTACACAGGCATTTGAGTGTAACAAACTGCTTAACAGAGGAGGAAGTGATGTCTGCTGCTGTGTTAGCCAGTGGCTTGGAACAGGAACCACAAAGGACTAACCCCGCAACACACATTTATTTCTGAAAGCAAGCTGCACCTTAGCTATGTCTTTGCAGAAAATCCAGTCAGTCTTTGCAGAATGGCTGACTCTAGTCCTTGGCTTATTGAGGGCATAAGGAAACACATTTGCCTATAAAACAGATACAAGATTTGTAGGTAACAGGACAGCATCAGTCCCTCTCAGGTTTCATAACACAGTGATATGTTGCATCTTCAGTAACAGAGACAGATAACTGTCACCAGAAACAAATTACAGTTTCATTGCCTTGAAAGTATGACCTACAATATCAGCATATATAGAAATACAAAAACCAGCAAGGAACTGAGGATGTTATTAGTAAATTAATTGAGTTGCTATTAAGGCCATCACAAAACCCTTAAATCAAAATCTGGAAGAAAAGGCTTATGCCATTTGCCAAAAAGGACAACGTGCTTTGCTAAACTTTTTTTTTTTTTTTTTTAGGAAGTAGAAATAGCTAGTTACTGTGGAGACCTTGTTTTCTTACAGTCAGGCCAAAACTGATTGACTGGATTGGAGTGATTTTATTTCACGAGATGTGTTACAATGGAAATGATGCCAGAGAAGCAGTCAGCAAATTTACTGAGAAACCTTAGGACAACAGAAACCTGTGCTGTCAGCTTAGCAGAACTGTTTATACAATCATAGTTTAATGAGTTACATTGCATCTGAGCTACATTACCAAGACACATGAATGTTCCTTGCCTGCTGAAAATAAGAGGTAAAATACATTTTTGATCCCTTTTAGATTAACTCAAGTGAAATGATAAAAAGGGTGAAAGTGTGCACGGTTTTCATGTGCAGTAGTTCAAGAAATCACATATTAGCTGACAGCCAGTAGTTCATTAAACAACATTAACAAGCTCTGTCTGTGCCTAAATACATATGCTAGAATGAAATATTACGCTGCTTTTAGCAGTATAGTCCTTTTATCACTGTTCTGTACATGGGGAACTGAGACACAACACTGATGACGTGTCTTTCTGAAACTGGATAGGAAGTCCATGTCTGAACCAGGAATTAAGCCATGGGACTGGCAATTTGGATGTCTGGTAGTGCAGATACTATCACAGGTAACACTGCTTGTATGTGTTCCCTGTAAAACAGTGCATGACTGATTTCCTTCTTTAAGGAATACTTTTCATGTAGTCTACATATATAATCAGTAATGAACTACACATTAATACTTTTAAGAAAACAACTCAGAATAACATTCTGGCCTGCAGATCCTAAGATTAACCCTGATAAGAAGCTGTAATTAAAACATATTCTATCAAATCAAATTAAATGCTACTTTACTTGTCCTTACCCTGACTCTTTTGTCCTTTCTGGTAGATGACATTTGATCCTTCCATCTTCTTCAATATTTTGCTGCCACCCATTATATTTCATGCTGGATATAGTTTAAAGAAGGTATGTGTCTCTTTCTTGTATTACGAAAGTGACTGAATGTGATTGCTACTTTCTAGATCCAACAGGCTAGTGACAGAAAAAAGTCACTTAATTATATTGCATGGGAAGAACTTGACAGGAGTGGAAGAAAATGAAAGGTGCATGGACCTCAATCTGCTCCCTTTCTACATCTGTGCAAAGATTTGATTGTGCAGTTTATAACACTTCGGCATTCCTGTTTTCAGAAGAGACCACTCAGAATCTGGTGACAGTGCATGTAGGCAGCAGGCTGTCTGTGGTTTATGCACTGCACGGTCAGGACTTTGTTCAAGGATTGGGGTCATGATACTGTTTGCATTCACTTTCAATGTGAACTTCTGTTATGATTGTGAAGCATTTGGCCAGATACATAAAAGAGAGAAATTCCATAGCATTCCACCAGACAAAAAAAATAATAATCTTAAATTGTATTTTCCAAAATAACTAATGTAGCCTATATTGTTTAATCATATATTTGAGATATGGGTTGTAACAAATGGTGCTTTTAGATGCAGTTTCAACTTCGTCTGAATGTTCTTTTATTGGCTGTATTACAAAGGACTTTTTTTCAAACTTTTCTCCTCAGAGACATTTTTTTCGTAACTTAGGATCGATTTTAACCTATGCCTTTTTGGGAACTGCCATTTCCTGCATTGTTATAGGGTAAGTGAATGCCTTCTGCTATAATTGCTGAAGTCATTATTAATGCTTGGTATTTTTTTTCACTTAAAAACTACACTGCAAAAGAACTGTGGACCCTGCATGGTCAATATACTTCACATTTTCTGTAACAGATAAAGTAATTCCTTATCACAGAATGCTGAGATGGAAAAGGCGAAACTCTTGGATAGTAAGAACTAAGGGCATTCAGAAAATTGTGTCCTTCACTTCTGGTCTGTGACTGATATAAGCATGAGCTGCTTTTTACAGCCCTGTAGCTTAACCATCTGTATTGAGAAACAGAACCATACCCTTGACTGAAATTCTGTGCTTCTAACCAGTATTCTTTCTAGAGGACAGCAGATCTCTATGAGAAAAGGAAGGACTTTAAATATCAAAAGGGGGAGGAACAGATACCTAGTGGCATATATGTAAAATAACTGGAGTAATTTCAAAGGCTAAGTGAAACTTTTAATTGAAGATCACATGAAAATTCTCAGTCTGGAACTATGTATGAATTTAGCCAGGATATGACTAAATGTCTTCTGCAGAAAAAGAGGAAAGGAAAAAAGCAAAAGAATAAAAAATCCTGTTTTATTTCTATACCTCTTTAGTCAGAAGTTTCTAATTTTGTTTCAAAATTTGCCTAATTAAATATAAGATTTGCTAGTCAGAAATTGATTATATATTTCCAGGCTGGCATGATATGAAACTTCCATTTGTCTGTTTGATTAGCTCAGTCAAAATTAAACAAACCATTTAAAAATCCTTTTAAATCTTAAAAGTGCATGTGTTTCACAATATTTATGAATACCACACAGACACTTCAGCTCTTAGGTCCTGGGAAAATCCTGATGCAGGTGAAAACAAATGACCAGAGTTGGATCCTGCAGTGAGTCGGTATCTGTGCGTGCACAGAGCCTTACTGAGAAGAGCGATGCCCTGTTCACAGTTTAATCTTGGCATCACTAGGCAGCCCCTGGCATTTTTGTGCTACAGAGTGGTGCAGAGAGCTGAACTATCTGAGTCTGTGTGGCCTCTGGAGGCGATGGAGCAGTGTTGCATGTAAGCAAGTAAGTCTCGCTGAGAGGCCTTCATCTTGCTGGGATTGTGCAGAGACAAAATAGGAAAAATTCATGGAACTTTCTGATGTTCAGGCTTTAGACTAGGCAGCATAATGCATCTTGTAGGACTTCCTTGAGGTCCTGGGCTGTAGAACTCTGAAATGTACCATTCATATCTCTGCATGATATGGAAAGATTTATGGAAACACTTCAGGTTTTATGGGAGTGCTTGAATTTAAAACTGGTTAAAATTCTGTGTCTATGAACAGCGCTTTCAAATTATAGAAGCAATTAGTTTTTTACTTCTGTCTTTTCCCTTTCTTTATAATGGACCTTTAAGTAAAGATGTATGTACTGCATCAAGGTATAAGTTCCTTGCTGGCATTATTTTGAGACAGATCTTTCTCCTTCAATGTCATTTTGATAATAGTAAAACACATGAATGATCTACAACTTAGAGTTGAATAATTTTAAAACTGTTTTTTTATGGATATGTCATCTCATCTATCTTGACATCCTAGATTCCTAATAATCAAGTAGCTTAGTAAGTATAATGTACCTGAGGCACTGTGGCTATTAAATGTTTTGCAAGCTATGGTCCCTCCCAATGTCAGGAAATTTTAGAGTCCACAGCAAAAAGCCACATTCAAAGTATGATCACCTTCTGTGCTGAAGTACAAAGGAATGTAAGTTCTGTATGTGGCTGTTTCCCCTTCATGTGAGAAAAACTGCTGAACAGCTATGAGCTAAGGAGAAAGGATATCTTCAATCTCTGACACAAATCTGTAACTCCAGGAGACAGTGTGCCATGTGTCTCACTTATTGGAGAGGAAAAACTTAATCCTGCTTTTCTTTCTGAAAATTTGCTTTCCTTGAGAAATGGCACCTCATCCTCTCACTCGCTATTGCTTGCTGTCCTCTAGAGAATTATATGAGGCAGAAAGCTCTGGATGTTGGGGATCCTTCTGTTTTAATGGGAACAGGCATGGAGTTTTATCAACCCAGAATATGGGCATGTCTCTATTGATTTCTTTGTGAGGCTCTACAGCTTGTGATAGAGCTCTGAAAGCACTTACCCACATGAAATAGAAACTTCAGCATCACAGCATCATCACTTAGGGGGTGAATGCTTGCTCAGAGATCCATGAAGATCACAGCTTGGACAGCTACACCACTCATATTTTTCCTCTGTCTTTATTTGCAGTAATATACATCTCCATATGGTCCTAGCTCTTGGAGCTGTTTCTTTTCATAGCCATTTATATGGCAAATATCATCCTAAATTTGGAATTATAAATCCACAGTAAAAAATCCACATCCTGATAACAGTTTGAGCTAAATGCTAGCACATTACTGGGGTAACAGTGATTCTGGATCTCATTAGGGCTCTTTCTCTATTTCCTTTCACTTATCTTAGCCAATGAATGTTTCTGTCCTGTAAACCAATTGCTAATAGCTCTGTGAGATGGCAAAAAAGCAGTAGGACTTGTCCAGCCCAGTGATGCTCTTAAACATGCATTTGGTTTATGAGCTCTGACATGTGTCATGCCCTTTGTAAATGGAAAACAACAGAGCAGCTTTGACAAGCTTGTTAGAAGAAACATAATATATTGACTTTAACCTAAATTACAAATACTGTCATTTCTGTATCCATGTTATTTTATCTGAAACAGAATAAATGCAGGTAGAATCTACTACAGAAAGTTCCTACTAGGAACAATTCCTACTAGCGAGTCAAAGTTCGAGCCCATAGTCAGGGATAAAGATCCAGAGGAAACCCTAAGGTAGAGAAGTAAGAACTGAGCAGCACTGGGCCTTATGCTGTGTTCCACACAAACCCACAACCCCACTGAAATTATTGCAGAGAAGACAATATTCAGAACAGGGCTTATGTGAATGTGAAGCATGTTTGCATCGTGTACACATCAGAGTACGAATGAGATAATGAATTTATGAAGAAGAAAGACAATATAAAAACTTTACTGAATGGAACTAAAAATAAGTCCTAAAATAAAAACATGTCCTAAGAGAGAAGGGATAATGAGCTATAGTTGTTACAAAAGAAAGGACAGAACCCTGAGGTACTTCTAAATTACATTGCTGTAGACAAATATTTTATGTGTAGGTATGATTAAATGTGTGCTTACTTTTTATTATATATTCACACCACATATATCAGTACATCAATATATATAGGCTTCGATGCCACGTATCTGCAGCTTCTCATAGGGACTGTGCTCTTCCTGATGCCTGAATTACAAAGCGCCCCATTGTGAACTCCTCCTGTGGGGCTTGCTGGAGTGACAGTGTACAGCCTATGACAAAGAAGGGCCAGACCTCTCTTTGTAAACCAGAAGCAGCTGGGAAATATCATTAATAAAGAACAGGAACATCATTTGGATTGTTGCAAACTCTGAGAGTGCTAAAAAGTTGCCATGGAACACACTGATACAATGGTGCCTGTCTCCTCTTTGTAAATCTTTGCTTTTGTGTAAAAGGCTGTCTTCTGGCATCAAGAAAGAGGAACCGTGTAGAATTTTTGTTAAAAGGCTATAATCAGATATTCCCACTGAGGGCAAGGGAAGGAGGGGTAGGAGAGGTTGTTTTTTTTAGTGAAGGCAGTAGTGAAACACAATTGCTTTCAACTAAATACTGCTCTAAGGAATGCCTGCCCATATTAGCTGTAATACTGTCCTCAGCCACTTAACACACATACAAGTTACAGTGATACATAAGCTCTCCCAGCTAGGCCAAATTATGCCCTTTGCACCGAGTCTGATTAGCAAGGATCCATGCAGAGAGATCCCATGAGGGAAAGGAGAAATTCCCCCACTCCAAGCCACACTGACTTTGCAGAATTGCTGAAGTTGTCCCTTCATGGTGACTCGAGGTCTGCATGATATAAGATCGTATAAGACCAGTCTCTCAGTGGATCTCCTCTCCATGGTTCCAGCTTCCCATCTCCTGAAGAACAGTGTGGGATCATCAGTGAGACTGCTCTTTAGTCCTAAGAAAAATCATACAGATTGTCTCTCTGAGGCTTTCTCTGATACAGGGCAGGCAGTCTCTTGCTGTAGCAGACTACTTGAGTTTCACAGACTCAGGGAATAATTTAGGTTGGAAGCAGTGTCTGGATGTCTGCAGGCCACCCTCACAATAAATGCATGACTGGCTTCAAATTTAAATCCAGTTGCTTAGGGCCCTGTCCAGCTGAGTCTAGAGTATCTCCAAGAATGCGAATTCCACTGGCTGTCTGGGAAACCTGTTCCAGCCTTATCCACCCTCACAACAAAATACTGGTTTTCTGCATATCCAGTTGGAATTTCCTGTGATTTACCTTGTAACCATTGCCTCCCATCCTTTCACTATGCACTCCTAGAAGGTGGCTTCACCTTCTCTATAACCACCTATTAGTCACAGAAAGCAATTACCTCCCCTCCTAGTTACAAGAGAAAGCCAAGCTGCTTTTCTCCAGGCTGAAATAACTCAGCCCTTTGCCTCTTCTCACGCATCGTGCCTGCCAGCCCTCTTGGTTGTTCTCTGATGGACTGTCTCCTATCAGTCTTTCTTGTACTGGGGATCCAAAACTGAACACATTGTTCCATAGGCCACCTCACAAGTGCCAAGAAGACACTAATCACTTCTCTTGACTTGCTCACTACACTTCAATGCACGCAGCGTGGTTTGCAGTTAGCTTTCATAGCTGCAATTACGAAGTCTGCTTCTGACTCACACTCAACTTGACTCCAGGACTCCAGGGGTGTTCTGCACATAGCTATATAGCCAGGATGCTCCTGTGTGGCTGTTGCATGGGGTTATTCTCTCTTTGCAATATGTATCTGGATATTAGCTGACTACTGATGACTAACTGTAAGTTGAAGCAGCACTGAGCTGATGCTACTCAGTGAACACATGAAAAATGGGCTGCTGAAAAATTAA